TTAAAAAATACAATCGCATTTTAACTAAAGTCGCCATTGGTAAGACTCACTAAATGCCAAATATACAACATGATCCTCAGGCTCGATAAAAAATAAACAATTTCTACTAATATCTCCAGAAATTTTTAGGAATAAAGTTCATTCCAGCGACTGAAAAAATTTAAGTCTTGACGTTATAGTCCTAGGTCAAAAAAGTAAATCGCCTTTGTCTGATAAACAGACTTAGGTGATTTACTTACACCACCTAAGTCTGTTCAAAAGTCACTACAATCTATGGTATTTCAACCAACTTTATGCAAAAAACTCTATGCAAAAACTATTTATACTGTAGGACATTAGTGTTCAAGACTACTTTAAAAGTTTTTTTTTGAGCTTTTTTTTCATTATAATAAAGATTATTAAGATAAAAAAGTGTTATAAAAAGCATTGTATGCATATATTTTAAAAAAATTTAACCCAATACTGGTATATGAAAAGACATTGAGCAAAAACCAGACAAGAATCTATAGAAAGCTCAATATATTATAAATATAAGGCAAAAAAAAAAAAAAGCCCCCTCAAAGAAGCTGTTAGTTATCATGTTGAAAGTGAATTTAACATAGATATTGTTTGAAAAATAAAATTAAAACCACTTTATTTATTGCAGAATATTTATTTATGGATGCAAAATATGTAATATTTATATACATTTTTAATATGTTTAATGTGATACGAATGAATTAATTTAATATTTATGACATTTTGTATTACATAAAACGTTTTAAACACCTAAGGAACAAATACTTTTTAAATTAATATGGCTTAACTATAAAAACTTTGATGATTTGATTAATGCAAACAGAAAACTTTACTATACTTTTAACCATTATTTGACTTATTTGAATGCATTCTTATTGGAAATAAATTGGCTTTGGAAAAGAAAACTTTAAATTTTGTTGATAAAATTTTGGAAAGGATATTTTGGACTAATTTATTATATGATTGCAATATCTTGCCTGCAGCAACTTATAAGATAAGTTTATGATATATTAAATTTCATCGCATTAAACACTAAAAACCGTATAATATACAAGAGTATAATTTTCCCGGTGCAATCAATTTGGAGTGAACAAAAAATTAGATCACCGAAAAAAAACAACCCAAAAAAGCTTTAAATTGATGGTGCAAACTCAATTTTTGACAAATAACCTTCAAACAAATTTTTCAAAACATAGAAAAGGCGTTTCACGTGAAAAGTACAAAATATAGCAATGGGCATTTTATTTCCGAAATAAATGCAAGTGTTCCAATCAAGGCGCTGTTTCAATTTTGGCAACTCTTCGCTACTTATTAAAAATAGTTTTTTTTCACCTAAGTAGTTTAAATTTGAACCTTATGAGTGCTACAAAGTGAAAAAAAAACATCTGTTCATTATTTCATTTTAAGCTAAAGAATTACTTCCAAAAATGATTTAAGCATTTTTAAACTTTTTTTTATCGTTGTTCGTTTTCTTAGATACGGCGTTAAATACTTGTTAAAATATTGATACATAACACGAAACTCAGTGGCCAAGAAATTTTGTAACGCAAACAAGCCATTCAATAAATTAATTGCCGATTAGGGATTTAAATAGAGCTGAGAACAAATTATTAAAGCATAAACTGTGTAGTTGAACATCTATAATTTCAATATAAACTTTTAAATTTGAAACTTGAAACTTTTCGAGTGCTGCAATATGGAATAAAAAAACTGTTCGTTATTACACTTTAAGCTAAAAAAATTACTTCCTTAAATCGGAAATATTCTCGCAATGCAAATAGAAAAATTGTTACAAAAATATTTTGTTTAAGAAACTCGAACTTTATCTCATATGGAACCATTTAAAACGTGATCATAAAAAGTTCATATTTTATTCTACCTCGAATAGATACATTTAATAAAAAAAGTGTCGTGCAGTGCTTAGATTTATTATTGAAGATGGAAGATTATTTGAAACAGCTTCTAAAATTATATTCATCAATTTGTCTTTGTATTTACTCAGGGGCAATACCATCCACCACATCCGACCACTTTATCTCTAAATTTAGGTGGTATGGTCAATAACCTATATATTAGCTTCAGTAGTGTATAAAAAGGCAATTTATCTTTAAACCTAGCATCACTTTGGATTGCTTTATTGCTGACAATTGAGATAACTTTCATGTTTTTACTTGTCACTATTTTTCATCTTGGTGAGTTTTAGAATCATACTGTTTATCAGTTTTAAATCAGGAAATAATAAATGCTTGTTACAAAGTTACTTCCACTGAAAAACTTATAAGAAATGTGCTTTCGAAATTCGGCTTAACTTCGAATAATGTTTTACAAGCTACAACTGCCACTACTTGTGTGCACCTGAACTTCTTGGAATCGATTGGTTAAGGTGCTGTACTTGTTAACTCCAACTCTGTGTGAAATCAGCTTTCCGCAAGCAACAAAATCTTGTGACATTATTTAGCAAAGCTCATAAAATGCTTGGATTTTTTTACTCATCGTCGGTCAACGCTTTAACAGCATTTCTAACTTACCGAGATTTAAAAAATCATGGCTCTATAGACTCTCACTTATCGGGATTGATCATGAGTATAATCTTATTAATCTGATTTTTGAAAAAAGCAAAATTTAAGTATTTTTATGATTTCCGATGAAATTCAACTCGAGGAAACAAATTTATAATTTTAAGCATATGGAATTTTAGATAAAATGTTTGAACATGATTCTAAGAATTATATCCTACCAGAAAGAAGGGCTTTAGATCAGTACAACCTTTTCCCTATGATTAACAAGCCAACACGCGTGACTAAAACAACTGCATCCATTATCGATAATATTATTACTAACAATTACACAAGCGTGGAATGGCAAAGTGGTATTATTAAAACAGATATAACTGACCATTTTCCAGTTTTTCTGAGTACATATTCTGCAAACCCTGAGAAACATACAAAAACAAAAACTGTATATGAAAGAAAAATAAATAATGAATCACTCGCCACGTTTCGAGACCTCTTACAAGAAGTAAACTGGGAACTATTGACTGATTGCAATGACGTAAATAACGGCTATGAATTTTTTATTCACGTGTTCACTAAGCAATACGAAAAGGCCTTTCCAAAATTTAAAAAAATTATTAAACCTAAAAGTTTGCTTAGTCCGTGGATGACGAAAGGACTCATTAAGTCGTCAAAAAAGAAACAAAAACTTTACCAAAAATTTCTTAAAAAAAAGAACTACAAAAACGAAATAAAATACAAAAAATATAAAAATTATTTTGAAAAATTAAAAAAGCAATCAAAAAAAAATTACTACTCTTCATTACTTAATAAAACATTTGGCAATGCAAGAAAAACTTGGAATGTAATTAAAGAAATAACAGGCGTGGGTAATGTAAAAAAAGACAATTTCCCAAAAAGATTACAAAGAGATGACAATTTAGGTGATGCTTCTGTAAATAAAGAAATTGCAGAAACATTTAACAACTATTTTATAAATATAGGAAAAAAACTAGCCGATGCAATTCCGGAGGGAAAAAAATCATTTAAATCCTTTTTGAAAAAATCTGATTTCTTCATGGATGAGTCAGAGCTTTTGATTGAAGAACTTCGGCAAGCGATTAGTATGCTTAAATCAAATAAAAGTGCGGGTCTGGATGAAATTAAACCTGATGTTGTAAAAGCTGTCTCTGATATCATAGAGAAACCCCTTTTCATAATTTTTAATCTATCCCTAAAAAACGGCATTTTTCCCGACCAACTTAAATTAGCAAAAATAATTCCAATATACAAAAGCGGCGATGACTCAATAATATCTAACTATAGACCGATTTCCATACTTTCCTGTTTTTCCAAAATATTAGAGCGTATTATGTTCAACAGGCTGTACAATTATCTTGAAAAAAATAATATTCTTTATCATAAACAGTTTGGTTTTCGAAAAAACCATTCTACGGAACATGCCGTAATTGATCTTGCGAACCAAATTTTACAAGGTTTTGAAAACAATTGTTACACACTTGGAATTTTTCTAGATCTATCAAAGGCATTTGATACTGTAAACCACAAGATTCTTATCTACAAACTACGTAGTTACGGAGTAGTTCACTCTAATTTAAAGTGGCTTCAATGTTATTTAGAAAACCGTAAACAAGGTGTACCATATGATCTAACATGCTCCCCATTTGAATCAATAAGTTGCGGAGTTCCACAAGGATCAATACTTGGACCTTTATTGTTTTTAGTTTATATCAATGATATTTTTTTGTCTTCAAAAATACTTAATTATACTATTTTTGCTGATGACACTAATGTTTTCTTTTCTGACTCAAATTTAAAAAATATTTTTTATTATGTAAACGCTGAACTAATATATCTTAATGAGTGGTTTATAGCAAATAAACTATCATTAAATATTGAAAAAACTAAATATATTTTGTTTGCTAAACCATCTCAATCCGAGAACCTTCCACTTAAACTTCCAGAACTAACAATTAACAATATTAAAATAAAAAGAGTTTTTTCAATGAAAATACTAGGAATAAATTTCGATGAACATTTAAATTGGAAAAGCCAAATAAAGTTAGTCGAGAACAAAGTTTCAAAGACTGTGGGGATTATGTACAGGACAAAACATCTTTTGAATAAAATATGTTTAAAAAACTTATACTTTTCATTTATACATAGTCATATTAACTATTGTAATATTGCCTGGGCAAACAATCATTCATCTTTCCTAAAAAATATTTATACTAAACGAAAGCAAGCAAGTCGATTAGTTTTGGGCGCAGATAGGTACGAAAGTGCCAAGCCGTTACTCAAGGAAATTAATGCGCTAAACGTATATGAACTAAATATATA